TGCTCCCTCCTCCCCTGCCTTCCCGTGCTAAACGGTGCCCAGCCAAGCCCCAGCTGCTCACTGGGACGACTGATAGTCAAGAACATTTAAAACACAGGGAAGCTGCTGCATCGGGTGCCTGTTGCTTTTGCTCCTGAACCAGACTGGTGCAGCAAATCCATCCAGCATGCTTCTTCCCAGTGGCCATAGCCTCAAGGTCCAGCCTCCTTCTCCCATTGCTCCCAAACACTCACATGGTGTTTGCAACTCACTTCTCTCCATCAGGTACGAGCCCCCGTGTCCACAGACCTCCGAGTGCAAGGTGAAGACCCCACGTCCCATGCTGCAATCTACCCCACACCTCACTCTCTACCAGCTTTCACCACATACTCTCATACTCAACACTTCTCATGTCATTGTGAATAGCCAGGATGCCAGAAGAAAACCCAGGGATCCGTGAAAGCAGTGCATGCTCATCAGGATTATTTTAATTTCTAACACGGTAGGAAAGCAAAATGGGATTTATTCCTTGCTCTGCCACTGGCTTACTTTTATAATGATGAGAAAGTCACTCAAACTCTTGTATCTTCAGGCCCTGTCTGAAAAACGGGGTAAAAACCTTCCCTTATGGTTATGGAGAGCATCAAATCCAGTAACAGGCGAGAAAATTCCAACCTGCGGCAAGGATGAAGCTGCAATAAGTATCCAACAGTCAGACAGATCAAACAGCTTAGACAGGCTGCACTAGATAAACTACAGTTTATAAGTTTAAATGGGATAAAATGCATCACATTAGATTAGGCTGATAAACGAATTAGGAGTAAGGGGGACAGAATAGCCTTGCAGACATACAGAATGGACAAGATTGAGTGTTTCTACAGGGTAACTTGTTAATCAATTTAGTAAACAATTACAGTAATTCAGATTCTTTAAATGCACATTCAAAGTTTAAAAAAAACAAAAGTAACTTGCAAGTGCCAGGGCAGCTCCCTTGGAAGCGATAGGACTGACAACAAAGCATGAATAAACCTAGTCAATGCAGATGCCCTTTCCAATTAATCTCAAACATTTACCAGTGTCATATTTCTCCTTGTAATCCCTCTGTGATTAATCATCTGCAGCAGAGAGCACATTCCCATCTGGGTATTTCTGAGCACGCCGAAGGCAAAGTAGCGGCACTTGTAATTTTACTTGTGTCTTTATTCATTCATATTTTCACCATTTCGTGTTTGGGGGAAAGAGACACAAGTGCACAGAC